AAAATCAATTTGGTTGACCTACAAAAAGTGGTCGAGAAATTTTTAAGTTTTTTTTAAATATCCGCACCCCCTCCTTCGAGAAAATCTTAGATCCGCCCGGCTCTTTTCATTTTCCCCCATCTGCAAAAATTTACAAATGTAAAGTTTGTTGACATTAGAAAATGGGCATACGGACTAATAAGGCCATGGCAAACATATTTGGTGATCATAATTAACCCTGTAAAACCACTCGTTACACGTAAAATTGATCTCGTTCGTGTGAGGTGGGGGGGGGGGGGGGGGAAGCCTGTTCTCACCTATGGGGGTCCTTATCACTGTTACTAAGCTTAGCTGCTGTGCTAGTGGAAGTTGGAAAATAGTTTGAATCCCCTCGTGCCGCCTCTCCACATTTCACTATCAACATTTCAACATTGTGGCTCTGCAAGCATTGAAATCCGACAGGAAAACTCGTCCCATCGATCAGTGAGGGGTCATTACCGTGGGCAATTCCAGAAGTCTATCCTACCAATCAGGGGCGGATCTAGGATTTTCTCGAGGGGGGGCGGATTTTCAAAAAATTTTCGAAAAATTTGACGACCCTTTTTTTTTAGATCGAACAAATTGATTTTCTGAGCTCTCCTAACGCACTAAAAAGACGCTGTTTTGCTCAATTTTTTTGCGCCGCTGGCAAGTTTTTGAAATGAAAAAGAGGTCAAAAAAGCTGTTTTTGGGACCTTTTTGGAAAATCTTGACAAAAAAATTGCGTTTTTTTGGCGCGCGCTCCCCCAGAAAGTTTTATATATTGGCGCCAAAGGGTCGGCAGGGGGTCGAATCCCTGAAGAGGAAAACGTCCATCCCCCCGCCCCGCCCCATCCTAAATCCGCCCCTGCTACCAATAGGACTAGAATGCAATGAAACTTGGCATAGTTACCGGGCTATTGGCATAGTTACCGTGTCGGCAGTGGGTCGGCAGGGGGTCGAATCCCTGAAGAGGAAAACGTGAAATCCTCCCCCCCCCCGCCGCCCCGCCCTGTCCTAAATCCGCCCCTGCTACCAATACTACTAGAATGCAATGAAACTTGGCATAGTTACCGGGCTATTGGCATAGTTACCGGGTCGGCAGGGGGTCGGCAGTGGGTCGGCAGGGGGTCGAATCCCTGAAGAAGAAAACGTCCATCCCCCCGCCCCATCCTATTGGCATAGTTACCGGGTCGGCAGGGGGTCGGCAGTGGGTCGGCAGGGGTCGAATCCCTGAAGAGGAAAACGTCCACCCCCCCCCCCCCCCCGCCCCGCCGACTCCTAAATCCGCCCCTGATACCAATACTACTAGAATGCAATGAAACTTGGCATAGTTACCGGGCTATTGGCATAGTTACCGGGCTATTGCGAGCATCAAAGTCCACTTTTCAGTTTTTGGTTACATGACAAAAGATCCCTTGCCTTAAAATCCCAGTCAATAAGATACCATTCCAAATTCTACCTCGTTCTAAAATCGCCCACTACCTAAGAAACCATAATAAAATAACAAAGAACCTGAGAAATGAAAATAAAGCGGTTAATCGATCAAGGTAAAAGCAAAGCGTCGGTTAAAATCAAAGAAATGGCAAAATTTTTGCTGCACAAATTTCGAACATAATTGACCTTGCTTATCACTCGAATGAAGCTCAAACTTCAAAACAGCTTAGACTACAATTGAACTTGAAAAGGATTTCCTATTAATCAAAACCAACCTTGCCAAAAATGGCCTGATTTTCCGGACAACTCAAGTCGGTATAAAATTGAAATTGGGTTTTTGCAAAATTCTAAAGCTTTGAAATCATTTTCATTAAATCACTTGCCATTCTATTTGATAAAAATATCAATTCTCAATTTTGATCAATTTTTTTTTGGCTGGGGTCGTCAGGTCCCTACTCCCAACCTAGCGTTCCGTAAATAAGAGCAATTGCATTGGGATGAAATTGCTAGAGACAGCATTTTTGAATGCGAGTCGTAGTATTGCGTTTCGGCGTTCTCCGTGAGGGGGCAAGGAGACGTCTTAAAAAAGTTGATCAAACAAATTTAAATTTAGGAAAACTTAAGCAAAAACTAAAACAAAAATTTAATAGGTTAAATGGGCAAGTGAACGGATATAAGCCAAGTTAGAGTCTGTGTATGAGTTTGTTATCTGTTGAGCATTTTCATTCAAAAGACGGCACTTCTTCCGGGAATGAGTTGATAGTGCCGCTGGATGCCTTCAATTTATAACAACCAGACAATGTGAAAAATCATTTTGCTTATGGATGGGGGAACAGCCGCGTTTAGCAATAATAACTAGTGAAGGAACTATAAAAACTGAAAAATTGTAAGGTGGAGAGAAAAGCGGGGCTCTTTTCCAGTCCCCCCCCCCTTTGATTTTTTCTGAAATTCAATATATGGAAGTCAGTTTAAAATGGCTTTTCTCAATATGATTCTCATTAAAACGTGTCAGAGTGAACAAGTGAACAGATTTTTTCAACATTTCTACAACATGCAAAATGCCGTGTGAACTATTTTTAAACAGCCTAATTTTAAGTTTTCCGAGGGGGTGGGAAACTGGAAAAGGGCCAAAAGCGGGAAAAAATTAACAGCTTTTCCTGTCCGATTCATTTGATGGGCAAAAATGAAAAAAAAATGTCAATTGTTTTATTTTAAGATACTGTAAAACCGCCCGTAGTTACGCCAAAAAATTTTTAATTTGTGCAAGTTGATGGGGGCGAGACAAACAGGCGGGGATAATGTGTTTATCTTTTGACTAACATGTAGAGATGACTCCATGTTGCGGAGTCGCTCCTCCTTTCCGTTCACTTCACCCAACTTGGCCCGCAAGTCTGCGTCCGCATTGCTGTTGTTGCTGCAGTTGCACGGATTGTTGCAGGACATCTGCATCTCACGCAGTAACTACACCACAGATGTCAGAGTTTTCGTTTCCAAGTGCCTTGTTTTGGTACATTTTTCTTACATTTTTGTTTCGAACATTTTTTGTTTGTACACAAAAACAAAATAATTAGCTGATTAGTTTAGCTCTGTTTTGAGCATTTCGTCATATTTCAAAGAAGCTTGAAAAATTTTATACGGCGGCAGTGTTTTCGAACCGGCTCACGAAATAATTTTTCTGATATATCAATTGGCTCTGGAAACGATGATGATTCCTTGGAGGCCCTGGTGGGCGGATTGTTGAACGTCAGCTGTGGGGGCTGCAGCTCGCGTCTGGCTGGGCTCCTTCGTCCTTCTTCCCTTGGCGTTTCAATCTGGATTTGAACCGGAGCTGGTGTCTCGACTTGTCTCGGCCGACGTCTTCTCGGTTTTCTCGGTTTTGGCGGCGGTGGTGGAGGTGCGGGTTCTTGTGGTTGCTCGGTAACAGTTTCGGGTTCTGCGGTCGGCTTTTCAACTGGAGCTGGTTCGACAAATTCCGGTTGCTCGGGTTCAGTCTCTTCTTCCTCTTCCTCAAGTTCTTCTTCTTGCTCGACTGCCGGAGGAGGAGCTGGTATCACTTCGTGTGCCTAATTTTGGCTCAAAGTCAGTTTCAAACAATCAACATTTGAGAAAGAAAGATTTCATAAGTGAGAAAAGACAACCAGTTATCTATAAAGTCATAACTATAAGCACGTGCAGATAACGTATTTAATTTTTGGCTCATTACGACCCCCTCTAGTAAAAAAAAAATCAGCCACATCTTACTGTGATTTTCTGATTCTTTCTTGTGGGGAGACTTTAATTTGCTGGGGACTTTTTCTCGTTTTTTGTTTAGTAGAAAAACAGAGGTTACTGCTCAAATAGCTATCTATAATGGGGCTATGGGTTCTTTTCCACTAAAGCCATCCCCCATAATTGTAAGGTCACTGTGTGTGCGGCTGATATCTTTTGCAACAAGGCCAGGGCATGTTTCAGTGAGCAATTTTGATCCTTGTCTAGTCTTATTCTCATTTCCGAAAAGCCAACTGAGCCAGCTTTGAACCCTGAACAAAAGCTTCCGGCTCTTTTTGCTTTTCCACCCACCAGCACATTTTTGTAATTTAAATTACTGTTCACTTTGTCCGATCGTCATGAAAATTGACATGCAGACTAATAAAGCCATGCAAAACATATTTGGTCTTCATTATCAACCTAGTAAACTCACTCGTTAGACCATAAAATTGATGATCGTGTGGGGTGGAGGAAAAAGAGCCGCAGAAAACGACTTTTCGACACTTGTATTTCGAATTGTAAGATTAATTTTGAAAGGTGACTTGTGGAAGTTTGGCTCTTTTTTAGTCTGCATGTCAATTTTCATGACGATCGGACAATGTGAACAGTAATTTAAATTACAAAAATTTGCAGGTGGGGGGAAAAGGAAAAAGAGCCTTTTCTGCTAATATCTCTATTCTTTCATGTTTTCTATTTTTTTGTTTGAGGGAGCGCGTTGAAATCCTCCAGTTTTTATAGCATTGTTTGGGTGAAAAGGGATATTGTTTCCATAATTGCACCTTTTCGAACCAGAAGTGGAGTTGTTTGCACAGTGCACAGATCACATGCTGGTATCTCCGCAGTAGTTCTATCGCATGCATCGAATTCCTCGGCATCTTCTGCACATGCATGAGGTAGTCTATCTCATTGGCCAGACAGCTGTCAATCATGGTGGCTAGACAGTACACGTCCATGGCAGAAAAAGAAGAAAGTTTGTAATAAAAAATATATCTATTCGAAGGTGGTGTACATTCTGGATTCAAGGTTCAGTCAGCCATAATATCAGAAAAAAAAACTTTCACTCCAGTGGTCAACTCCAGTGCGTTTAGTAATTCAGTTATGCGAATAATATTGAAGCACTCCTTAAACTTTTAATGATAGTGCATCAATTAATTGAAGATCGGGTATTTTGTAAAAGAAGCACCGTTGAAATTAATGCAGATTGCAAGAATCCATTTTTGCTGGCTCGATAATAATGAGTATCTGGCATAGTTTCTGATGTTTTGTGCTTGGAAGCATTTTTTCAGTTATGAATGACTTGACAATTTCATTCTGCTTAGAACCGACAAGAGACAATGGGGTTGTCAATGTCAGGGAAGAGTTCAGACGGAGAGTGGGAGGAGGAAACAGAAACTGAATCACAGTCACGCAAACAGCAACCAGGTGAGTTAGAACCGAAGTGTATAACTCATAGAGTAATTTCGGATAGGGTACACCGTCTGCTCGTCACGCTATCTTATTTTCGGCCGGATAGATTCGTGCAACTTCTTAGTCTAATACCGATCCTAATCTTACTCTTATACTATCTAGTCTCAGGTTGTTTAACTAGTCTCTGCTAGGCTCAATAGATCTAGGGTATACTGGTTTATTGCGGCTGCTGAAGTGCTCGGGAGAGTCCAACTAATTTCTAAGTTAAATTCAAATCTCTCTGGTGCTGAAATTACAAGTAACTTCAGCACTTACAAATAAGTGGGTTGTTAGTTAGATGGATCATGATTGGTTAATATTAAATACTTTACATTGGTAAAACATTTAATTTATCCAATCATAAAATATAGTTTAGATCAGGTTCCACCCATCCGGGTTTTACAGAGTTTTTTAGAACAGTTCTTCTGTAATTCAAGGGTGGATGATGGACGTTGGTATTTGGCGAACATCATAATTTTCTTTTGCTTCTTCTTGTGACAACGACTGAGTCTTTGCAACAAAATCAATTCTGATTTCAGAATGGTTGGCTATGTCAGGTTTTTCTGTTCTTCGGGGAGAACTTCTTTTGTGTCTGATCTAGCTTGGGAATGGCGTGGAGATTGTGCATGGAGGGGATGCCTGGTTACTCGGATCTGTACGTATACTTGAACATCGAGGTGGTCATTGGTCTAGTTCAATGAAGTCCTTTTCTGCGAAGTCAAGTCGTACTCTAAATCCTTTGAGTTGTGATTGTGAGCGGCATATCGATTGTAGTTGGTTATTCTCTCTCGAGTGTAGTGAGGTCGTCTTGTCTTTTGATGTTCGTCCTTGGTGTTGTATTCTGATCTATATATTGCATCATGTGATTTTACATTTTATAAAACTTTTATTAGTTTAATATTTTTTAATCATGATTTTAGTTAGTTGTTTTCACAAAAGCTTTTTGTTTTAGTTCGGTTATTTTGAAGAGTTACTCACCCTTGAGTAGCTCTTATTAAAAATAAAGGTGTGGTCACAAAGCGTGGATGTAGCGCGGTGGGTTAGGCCGGCTATAGAGCATGCTCAGGACGTCCTTTCCTGGTGGGTTAGGCCAGGAGTGGGAGTATGATTTCATGCGGTGTTTGTGAGGGGTCCTGTTATGTGACAACGTTTTATGTTGGGTTTGTTGTGGTTTTACTTATGTCTTGTTGGTTATGTACTTTTTCCAAAAAGCAAATTGTTTGTGGTATGGGTTTGTCTTTCGACTTTTTTGTGTTTTATTATTTCTTTCTAAGACTTTATAATAGTCTTCAAAAGAATAAATTATCCAGTTTTAAACTGGGTTAATCCGGTTTGGGTACCGTTGGTTTCCTTTTCTTAGTCATGCTGTTATTCTATGATTTGTGGTATTTAGTAAGCTGCGTTGGTTAGTTTTGTTTAGTATATGATTCCTTTCCAACCGGGTTAAAGGAAAGTTTGAAACATGTTATTATATGTTAGAGTTGTTGAGTGTGAAAACTTGAAACTGAAATTCATTATTTTAAACAATTCTTCGTGGGCGAGCTGTGCGAGTGTGGATAGAATTTCTGTGCAAATGAATAAAAATATCAAAAGGTTAGTACTGCAATTGCATTTTATTAATTTACTGCATAGAATTTGGAAATTTACTGCTAGTTATGGGGGAATTTTAAGATACAAATTTTCATCATAATTCGATTTACTGCTGTTGGGGGAAAATTTATAAATTAATTTACTGCATTGGTATTATATTTATTTAATTGTTGGTGCAAAAGTTTTAATAGGGTCTTAAACAGTTTTGAAGAAGTTTGCTATTTTTTATTTTTCTTTTGTGAATTTTTCAGATGATCTAGGATGAAGGCTAAAAATCTAAAGAAAACATGAATAAAGAATGGTGAGTTTTTAATATTTTAATTAGTTAGTGATATCATTTAATTCATACTTACCTGTTAGTCGTCGGGGAAAAAACCGTGGGGGAAGATGTCGTGAATTAGTTCTGAAGTTGTTAGTAGTTTAGCTAGAATGCGGATGATTTTTTTAGTCTGAAGTAGTGGCCAAAGCAATTGAAGTGCCTTAATAGTGGTTAGTTCTTCAGTGCCTACTGCAAACTCATAAGGTGTGTTTTGGATTAAGTTATATAATTTGTGGTTAAATTTCGTGTTGTGGATGAATTCTAAAATTGGGATTTCTATAGGCTGTACAAACTCGTGCGGGATAAGGAAGGGTCGGGATTCTTCGGCGTTGAAGGTCTTGGTGATGGGGCAGAAAATGTACATTTGGGTTATGGGGTCATAATTACGAAGAATACCATGAAGGTTAGTGTCTTTAATACAATATGTGAAATTTAGGAAATACGGTGAAGTGTATTTTGAATTGATGAATTGAAAACGATGGTGTGGTTGTCTAGAGGGTGTGTGGAGGTCAAAGTGATTTTGGATGAAACGGTAGTAGCTGTATGTATGTGTTTGTTTAGTGCGCAACATAATATCATGTGAGCAGTGCAAATCTCTTTCGTGTGGTGCAAGGAAATGAAAGGTTAGTGAAAAGATTTGGAAGCGTTCTTTAAAACTTTCGTATGCTTGTGTGTTTGTTAGTGCTTCTGAAATAATGTGATCAAACTTTCGGTCGAAGATGTTTAGTGTAAATACATATGGTGTCTTGATGAAAAATTTCTCGGTGATTTGTGGATTAGCGAAGCGATCGTCGTCTAAGAATTGATCTTGGTTAGCTCTAATGATGTTGTGATCGTAGTATTCTAGTGTATATTCATTAGCTCTAGGTGCAGTGTGTATTTTTAGTGATTTTTTATATCCAACGTAAGTAAACTGTCTAGCGGTTAGTGGTGTAGTTAGTCGATATAGCATGTCTTTGTTTCGTTCTATATCGATGGAAGTGTTGGATAAAGGTAAGCAAAGAGGGTTAGTGAAATGATAGTATGAGGTCCAAGAGAGAGTGGGCATTAAAACGTATTCATCTACAAAGTTGCGTGTTTCGTTAGTGTCGTGAGGGGTGTTTAAGGTGTATTGTGGAAACGAGGGTAAAGTGATAGCTAAAAATTCTTTAGTGTTAGTATGCTGGGGGTGGTTGATGTATTCACGGGCTGTTCCTGGTTTTGCTGGGAAAGGATGGTTGGGGAATTTTCTTTTAAAAGTGCGGTAAGCTCTGTTAGTGTTTAGTGAAGATATAGTGGATGTGGATGATGGTGTTAATGATTCAGTATAATTTGAAGAGGGTGTAGGGGGATTGGATGAATTTGTAGTGGAGGAGATTTGGTTTATGGTCGGGGTGTTTAGGTGGTAGGGTTGTTGTTGGAGGGTAATGAAATTATCTAGCTCTGGGGAGATTCGGGGGGTGTCTGGAGAGTGAGATGATCGGTCAGAATGGTATGAGGAGTAGGTTGGGGTAACTTGGGAAGCATAAGAGGGTGTGGGGGTGATTGGGTCAGGGTTATTGGATAATATGGGTTGAAAAGGGGGTTGAGAAAAATTAGAAGAGTTATGAAAATTATTGGATGGAGATGGTTCTGAGTCGGCAAATTCATCGGGGGTTTCAATATTCGGGTTATTTAGCTGTGAGATGGAATATAAAACTGAGATGTGTGAATTAGTGTCGGAATTCATGCCTGATGTTACATTACTAGATGGAAAGTCGGGTGGCGGAAAAGCAAAAAGTGGTATTATTGGGATTGAGGAGGTAAGATTGGTTGGGTGGGAATTTGATCGGTGTAGTGATCCAAGTTGGCGGCTCATCGTGGGCTAAAAAAATGATTATTTTGAGACTGAAAAGCGGTGGTATGGGGTTGTTCAATAATTTGTTCATAAGTATTATCATCTTGTGGCTGGTGTGTCATTATATGTTGAATGGGACTTTGTGATGTATTGAGTCGAAAATTTGGATTATGTGTGATTGCTAAATTTCGAAAATTTCGTGGGACTAGGGATAGTGGATGGTTATTTGGTAGGGGTGGTAATTGTGGTGCCGTTGGCTGTGTGTCAACATTGTTATGTTCTTCGTCGTATGTATTTTGTCGTGTTGTTATTTTTGTGTTATATTCTTTTATTTGTGCGTCTAAAAGAATTTTGTTTATAGATGTAGAAAAGATTCCAAAAAATCCTGCAAAGAGTATGCGTGCTACGCTTGCTTGTCTGTTTACTTGTGTGTGTATAGCACATGTATTGTAGATTCCTTTTAAGAGTGAGAAAAGAAATCCAATAAAGTTAAACATTGCGTATAAAATAGTCAATTTTTCTAAGATGTAATAGGGCCATCCTAGAAAATCAAGGATTTCATTTTTGAGTGTAACAAAGCTAAAAATGTTAATTGGTGATATATCTTGGGGACGGTATTTTTCGCCGTTTAGATATATATAATCTTTAATGTCTTTAAAATATCCGCTATAGTCTTGCGTGTAGATATCGGCAAATCCTGCAGTTTCTGCAAGTTTGCGTAAATTTTGGTCTATTGATTGTCTTTGTATAGTGTCCATTTGTGTTAATAATTCTTGGAATTGTTGTGTTCTAATGTGATGTTGAATATCTGATTTTGAATATATTCCTATTGATTGTAAATCTATATTTGGGTTTCGAGCGATAGCGCGAATGCTTTCTGGTGAAAATTTTTTGAGTGATTGCATTAATGTGGGATATGGAGTGAGAAGATAATATTTATTTTCATCAGGGTTTAGTTGTACTACATTGTGGCTATTTTCTGATCCACATGGGACTGCGGTATCCCAGAAATAGGTTCTTCGTGAAAGTGTATCCACGAAATGTACTTTATTTTTATAAAAGATAGGGATTCTTTTATAACATCGTTTATCTTCAAAAACGTATAGTGGTGATACTTTTTTAGTACAAGTATAAAACCATAAGATGTTTCCTTCGTAGTCTAAAAAATTTGACCTATTTCCTGATAATAAGTATCCTGCGTAGGGTATTTTTAATACTGCTAGTGCAAGTGATTGTAATATTTGTGTTCGT